CCTTAACAAGGCCTTTACGATTCCGTGGAGAACTAGCATACATGGCTTACTGGGCAAGTCCTGTAAGTGAGATTGAGGTCTTTTTGACATGTGAGGCGATAAGATTGTCTGATGTTCATTTCTTCTCCTACCTGTTTACCTTTCTGTTGTAATAGTCTCCTTAGAAGCTTCCCATAGAGGGATACAGAGCGGAAAACCCATCAGACTAGCTTTTCCTGACGAGCTTCTGAAGTCGCAATTAATTTTCTTCTTCTTCAACGAAATCATCCAAGTGTGCAGGTCTTGCAGGCGTGAAAGATTTGCTTTGCAGGGTTTTCATCTTGAAACCCGTAATTGCCGCCGTCTGTGGGTGTTTTGTTAGCTCAACGAGGGAATGAAAGGGGGTGGAAGATTTGCAAAGAATTATGTTTTGCACAGGCTCCTTTCACATCGACGATAATTTCTCTGGGGGAACGGAGAAAAGGGCTGATGTGATGCGATATATTTAATGTTGATTTCGGTCGGATGGAAACTATGGAAAGGGATAGCGTGCTCGTAACAATTCTACAGGACACGCCATGTTTTCAATATCGGGGGCATTTGGATGGATGCTAGACCATACATTACTTCGGATCAACTCTGTACTTTGGAATGGGAAATGTTCTGGCTTTGATCAATGTCGTTTCCGAATACATCAAAAATTCATGCATCCGATCTCCATCAAGAATCGTAACAACGTTTGGATGCATATGTGGCCTATACAAAGACTTGTGATAGCCAGCCTATGAACAAATCAGTGATTTTTTTCCTCCCAGACGAGTTTGCTACCGATTAATCGTGCCGCGCCTAAATGGAGGCTGACTGGTCTGGGAGGGTATCGATTGGTGCAGAAAAAGACGTGAGAAATAAATAGAACAAAAATCATTGCAAAATAATAAAGACTGTATCAATTTTCAAAATCACTGCGAGTTTAAAGAGGCTCAATGCCTATCAAAACACTTATGGCACTAAATGAAGTCTGTATACATGAAAGGAATTTAAGCGTAGATATACAGACATTGGCGCCGTTTTTCGAGTGGGACCAGAAATTTCCATGAGGTCATTGCATTGGGGCTAGGTCACGGCACGACCTCGAAGGAACTCCTGACCACCTCCCATAATTCGGCGTATGACCCGCGTAATGACCTTGTTCCACCAGGGACTCTATGGAACAGTTGGCCTCAATCCCTAACCCGTAGACGGAACACTATGCCATTTAGCTTTGTGCAGCAGATACGCCGATGTATGACTTATTAGATTCGCTTCGACGGCGTCTTCCCTATTGATTCTATTAGTTGGCAAGCCCGTAATGCTGTGTTTTATCAGGCAGCCAAGCTGGATATCTGCATAATATTGCACATTCTCTTTTTTTTTTTGTAAAATTTCCATGGAGGATTCGCAGTCTCTATTGTGAATTTGCATTTTTCTCGGATTTTCTATCTATTCGACCTAATTGACAACCTTCCCCGAGGATCTCCAGAATTTCGTTATTTTTTTTTATGGATTTAACTAGTTACTCAAAGTTCTTTCACCCGGTGAGAACTTGTTCTAGCTCTATTGTAATTTCGTAATGAGAAAAACGGAATTGGCTGTTTGACACTTTGACTTAAAATTTCAGATTAGTTAAGGGTCGAGGCTCCATTCAGCGTTCCGCTTTTTCAATAGCTGGAGCCCTTTTTTGAGAGCATTTCTAGCAATCTCACTGGATGTGCCGTGTCTCCAACAATGGGGCATTTGAATGCCTCTAGTTCATATATTATCTTAGTCAATTTTGTTTTAACGGTCCTCGAATAATGGAGTTTGGAATAGGAAATTTAGAAGGAATAAAATTCTGTGTAACCGACCTAACCCGTTCCCTGTTATTGCCAAATTAATTTTTAATAAGCCTAAAAAGAAATTATCATCCGAATAAAATTTTTCAATTTTCAGGAGCGCATCGTGGAAAAACTACGCGAACTGGTGTTTCAGTGCGATCAAACCACCAAGGCTTGTGCCTCACATTATTTCAAGGTACGCTGACAAGTTTTATTCTTTGGTAATTTGAATTTTGTAATTTTTTTGCTACCTCTGTACAGTGTATTGCTTGCGTATGTTACATTCCTTGTTAACTATTACTACTTTATTTTGGAACAGGTTTTTGTTTTATTCGATATTTTATGCAAAACGTTTTGGAAAGTTGGAAAATTGGCTTTCATAAAAGCCAGAATTTAAATTTGCTCATCAACACTCCCTACACTTCCTGTTCTTGCATAGTTCCGTTTTCCAGCAATTGACATAATTTCCAGTTAACATCATTTCATAATCTTCTTTAGTACCCTTAATTAAAAATCTATTTTTCTAAAAGTACAACCATGGGACTACTAAAGAACAACGAAACCTTCGGACGTCATGATCCGTTGTTCTTTAATAGTCCCATTGCATTAAGCGGTTCTGCCCTAGGGATATGGGAGAGCTGAGAGGCGTTTTTATGAGGCAATTATGGCATTGAGTAATGGATTACGTGAAATTGGTTTTCTCAGGCCCAGAAAGGGCAAGTGAGTTTGGAATTTGATATGTGGCCCGAAATGACCCACTGGGCCTAGGGGCATGAGAAGTCATTCGAATTCCCTGGGTAATCGTTCTTTGAGTCCTTAACCGAATTTGTACTTTC